GTGTGTGTGTGTGTGTGTGTGTGTGTGTGTGTGTGTGTGTGTGTGTGTTTGAGAGAGAATCCCAAGCAGGTTTCATGCTCTGCATGTGAGATCGTGACCTGAGCCCAAATCAAGAGTGGACGCTTAACCGACTGAGCCACCCAGGCACCCCCAGTAGTCTTGAAATCAGCTTTCCTTTTGGAGATGTCCTGATTTTACCCTGTAACCTCTCTTCCCTCTCTGGACTCCCTCATAACTTCCCATGATGGGCAAATCCTCTTAGATGGGGAGTCTCTGAGGTGATTGGGATCTACCGGCTGGCTGGGTCTTCACTAGAGGTACCTTTCCAGCCATCTGGTGGTGGTTTTCCAGAGTGCGTTGTTTCTGGAGTTGTTAAGTACCCTGTGCTTTCTTAAATCATTTATAATGTTCTACCTTTACATTTTATCCCAGGCCATAGGTGCACATTCACTGATGTTAGGATGTTGGCTTATGTATTCTTTCTAGAATGTAGTATAATTGTGGATCTCCACAGTGTAATCATTTATTAAATTGCTTCTAAAGTGATCCTTTAAAAGCTGTTTGCAATATCATTCAACACTTTTGACCATGAGATCATACCCCCAGGAATAATTAGTAAATCTGTGTTGAATTTTTCTGCCTCTTTTTCTTACCAACTCCATTAGCTAATCTGTATAGCATCCAAAACCATTACTGAGGCTTTCTCCAGATTGTTACATCTTCCCCTGACCGTACATTGGTGGTCACAATGAACATCATGGAGAGAACTTAGTGGAGACTGATATGTGCCAATTACTTCTGTTTTGGGGATATTTGGGTGGGACAAGGCTTTATTTTTACATTTCAGGTATTCTGTGAACTTCTCAGTATTTCCATAGTTTAACCCTAAGCCAAGGACATTTATACTAACACGCCACTTAAAACATGTTTTTCTGGTAGCACGGTCATCATTTATTGAATGTAGAAACTAAAGGAAAGCATAAGTGATGATAGAAAATCCACTTTAACCCAGCACCCTGGAAAAGTCACAGGTAAGAGTTTGGTCTATTTCAAACCACCTTCATGACCAAGAAAAGTGTCCAGGCAGTAAGATGAAAATGTCTGCATGTTAAGAGGAGAACAAAAAATAGAACAAACTAAAAAAGGAGTGGAAAAAGTCTGGGGGCAAGATGGCCATGCAGACCTTGTATGGTGGCTCCATAAAGTTTTCAAGGCCCCGAGTTACTCCTAGCCTATTGCTGTAGCACCCCCAGACTTGCCTGCATCCCTAGGGTGTCCCAGCCTCATGGTCCCAAATGGCCAAGCTGGTTTACTTTCCATCTCTGCATTTTAGCTGCTATGATGGAAGAAGGGAATTGAAAGCGGCCCACTCTCTGCTCTTCAAAGAAACTTCCTGGAAAACGGCTTATGTTTCTTCCATCTACATCCAAGCGGTCAGAAGTTAGTCACTTGGTTGCCAGGGTGGCTGGGTGCAAAGTCGGAGTCTGAGAAAAGAAACGTGAGAATAAATGAAAGACAGTATTCTAACTTAGAGGCAGGAATTCTCTTAAGATGCTGGGACAATGGGTGACTTAATTGTCCATACCTACATGTACGTGATTTTATTTTCTAAGCTTTCTATCGTAAGCTTACAAAGAGTTCCTCTCCATAAAATAACTGACTTAGACCAGGCATGTCTCACTTGTTGTGATTAACCATTTTCTTTCCTTGAGAAAAATCGGCACAGGAAAAATAGTGATATTCTTATTTTGAAGAGAAGTAAACTAATCGTCCAGAGAGGCCAAGATCTCTTCTGATACCACAGACTTGGTGAGTGACAGAAACTGCTAAGCACTTGCAAAGATCTTGTCTTAATTTAGTGCTCGTTGCTCAGAGCCACAGTTGCTCCCTCAGAAGAGAGGGGGCATTTATTAGACACCTCAATGTGACAAGTGAACACAGTAGATACATAAGATCCCATTCTACTTAACCGTCTAACCCAGGGCTCAGCAAACATCTTCTGCAAAAAGCCAGACTGTGACGATTTTAGGCTTTGTGGACCCAAAGCGGGGCCATTATTTAGGAACTTAAATAACCCAAGAGGAAACCAATGTTTCCCCCTAGCCATCTGAAAATGTACAGATGATCCTTAGCTCCTGGGAACTGGCAAATCCCGTGGCGGAGGGCTCTGTTCACAGCCCAGTGGAATATACACACAGCGACGAGCTCACTCTGTAGATGAGCGGATAGTCACTTAGAGGGCTCACCTGTGTTCACAAAACTAGCAACTAGGGGGGCTGGGATTGGACTCCTGTTTATGTGACTCCAGAATCTGTATGCCCTTCTTACTTGGCTGTGGTGTAGAGAAGATAAACAAACTCATGTGTAAATACAGGTTTTCTAGTGGAGGAAAATGTCTTCCACAGCCAAGAGTGTTTCCAGGCCCTGCCGGGAGCGTGTTGGGCACTTCTGTCTCACCTGATGTCATGGTAACACTTCAAACAAGTTGAAGACCCATTAGTAAATCTCAAACTCTGGGAAGAGCGAGGCTGTGTCTAGTTACAGCATTTATTTCCCTTCGAGTAAAGATGGCCTTGCCTTTTGGCTTTAGTGCAGGCTGAAATCTTTGTGTTTAAATGGGGGGGGGGGCGGAAAGAGGAATGATAATGTTTTTACTTGATTTGAAAATAGAGACTTTGAAAGTTATCAACAGTGTTTCCCTTCCTCATTCCATTTAAATGATACTGTAATGGTCTCTTTAAAGAAAAGGCTCAGAGGCCTGGGTTGTCATCCAAGGGATAAACTTCGAATGCAACGTATTAATCAAGAATGGCAACAAATGTGTCCCCACATGGGCACCTGACTTGCCAAGCCTCACACTCAGAAACAAGAAACGACAGATGGTAATTGGCACTAACAAGGAGGGGCCCGTTCAGGGAGGCGTCTTGTGAATGGAGCGTGAAGCGTGGGTCGCCCAGTGGCTTCAAGTTAATTGGTTCACGGTAGCTAGACACGTGAGGACCCTCAGTAGGGAGAGCCACTGAGCACGCATTAATCACAGGTGGCCCATGTTGAGTCCCCATCGTTTGCCCAGCCTCTTAAGGAGCTGGTTGTGAATTCTCACGTTTACAACCATCCTGATAGGTTTGTATTGTCATGACTTCACAGAGGAGGAGTTGAGTCTAGTGAGATGAAGTCATTTCCGACCTCACGTGCTTACGGATGGCAGAGCTGCGTTAATCCAGGGCTCTGGTCCTTTCCGCTGTACGTTCCTGCTTCTGATGCCGGTTCATGCCAACGCGGAGGGCTGTATTGGAAGTGTGCCCAGTGCATTTCTTCTTCTGCTTGCCCATAACTTTGCTCCTGAGATACGTGCTTAGCATTTCTGGTTGGACTGGAATCACAATTACGGGTATTTAATCTGTGGTCCCTCTGTTCACTGAATGTGTTTAAGAAATGATGTGAATTTTTGGATTTTCAGGACCTCTATTAAGCATTTGGAAAACTACTGAGAAAGTAAGATTTTCCTCCTTGGGTTCTGGAGGCTTGATGCTTACCCACGCTGAAAGAGAGTGGTTCATTTTTCAGTTAACATGAGTCAACACTACGATTCAAACACCCAGATTGTCCAAGTCCACAGAAAGCATGTGCTGTAAGGGTAGCATTCACTTTGAGATGGAAGTTAATAGGCTTCACAAAGTTCTTCTAAATAAAGTATTTAGAGTAAACTTCTTAAGCCCTTTGAATGCAGTCGTTGAAGAGATTGAATAGCGGGCTTTATCGGGCATCGAGGAATTCAAGTGCCGGCATGAACAGCCTTTTGTTAGTTGGAAGCCTTGTATGTTCTGAGGCTGTTTACCTTTCTGGACCCATTGGTGCAGTTTGGTACCACAGGCTTGTCCTGTCTTGTTTATCATTACGTTAGCTTGACTTCCTCAAAGGTACCCGGTTGTTTCTCTTTCTCTGAGGTTGACCTGCTCTCCCTGCTGGAGCCTCGGTCCCTCTCCACTGGGTCAGCCCCCTCCGCTGCCCCATCCGCCCTGGAGGTCCCTGCCATGGAGTAAGGGATCTCAGATCCTAAGAGTTCTTCAGTCTCCACCAGCTCCACTGACTTTCTGCCTTTAGACCCACTTTTTTTCATACTTTATTCATTTTTTAAATATAATTTATTGTCACATTGGCTTACAAACAACACCCAGTGCTCATCGCAACAGGTGCCCTCCTCAGTGCCCATCACCCACTTTCCCCTCTCCCCCTCCTGCCATCCACCCTCAGCTTGTTCTCTGCCTTTAAGAGTCTCTAGTGGTTTGCCTCCCTCCCTCTCTGTTTGTAACTATTTTTGCCCTTTCCGCTCCCCCCATGGTCTTCTGTTAAGTTTCTCAAGATCCATATATGAGTGAAAACATGATATCTGTCTTTCTCTGACCCACTTGTTTCACGTAGCATAATACCTTCCACTTCCATCCACATTGCTGCAAATGGCATGATTGCATTCTTTCTCATTGCCAAGTAGTATTCCATTCTATATATAAACCACATCTTCTTTATCCATTCGTTAGTTGATGGACATTTAGGCTATTTCCATAATTGGTTATTGTTGAAAGCGCTGCTATAAACATAGGAGTACATGTGCCCCTTTGCATCAGCACTCCTGTATCCCTTGGGTAAATTCCTAGCGGTGCTATTGCTGGGTCATAGAGTGGTTCTATTTTTAAGTTTTTGAGGAACCTCCACACTGTTTTCCAGAGTGGCTGCACCAGTTTGCATTTCCACCAACAGTGCAAGAGGGTTCCCATTTCTCCACACCCTCGCCAGCATCTAGAGTCTCCTGGTTTGTTCATTTTAGCCACTCTGACCGGCGTGAGGTGCCATCTCAGTGTGATTTTCATTTGTCTCTCCCTGATGATGAGTGGTGTTGAGCATCATTTCATGTGCCTGTTGACCATCTGGATGTGCTCTTTAGAAAAGTGTCTATTCACGTCTTCTGCCCATTTCTTCACTGGATTATTTGTGTTTCCAGGTGTTGAGTGTGGTAAATTCTTTATAGATTTTGGATACTAGCCCTTTATCTGATATGTCATTTGCAAATATCTTCTCCCATTCTGTCTGTTGCCTTTTAGTTTTGTTTATTGTTTCCTTTGCAGTGCAGAAGCTTTTTATCTTGATGAGGTCCCAATAGTTGATTTTTGCTTTTAATTCCCTGGCCTTTAGAGACCTGGTGAGTAAGAAATTGCTGTGGCTGAGGTCAAAGAGACTGTTGCCTGCTTTATCCTCTAGGGGTTTGATGGTTTCCTATCTCACATTTAACTCTTTTATCCATTTTGGGTTTATTTTTGTGTACGGCATAAGAATCTGGTCTAGTTTCATTCTTCTGCATGTTGCTGTCTATTTCTCCCAGCACCATATGCTAAAGAGACGGTCTTTTTTCCATTGGATACTCTGCCCTGCTTTGTCAAAGATTAGTTGGCATACATTTGTGGGTCCAATTCTGGGTTTTCTATTCTATTCCATTGGTCTATGTAGACACACTTTTAAACATCAGACTAACACAGAAGGCAGTCAGACTTGGCCTCAGTACATCACTATGGGCTCCTTTTGAAAAGCCTGAAAAAACGTTTACTTGTGACTCTGTGGTCAAACTCAGTGTAAGTCATCAAAAAAACACAGTAAGAGTTAACATTTATTAGTGAAAAATAGATTAAAAGGTGATCGGATATACAGCTAATGATCACATTTCAGGAAAATATTTCAAATAGAACTACCCCAAGGTTAGAGTCAAATTTGTAATGTATATGCTCATGTACAGTGATGTTAGAGAGTTTATTTTTTTCTGGCCCCAAAGTGTTTTTGTGGATGTTTTGGTTTGATTCTGTTCCACCTAGGGGTAATAAAATATAACAAAATCGGTCCAGTTACATATCCTTATGTGTTCTCTCACATGTGTGTTAATGAGAGGAAAGATGCTTAACAGCCATATAGAGACAGAAAATCTTAAAAGGAATAATGAAGCTTTAGGCAGTTTTAGGGGTTTCTAGAAGGGGATGTTCTCTGAGATGCCATCAGATCTCCAAAACCCGTTTTTAGTATTTTTGTCAACACAGAACCCAATATGGGGCTCGAACCCATGAACCGTGAGATCATGACCTGAGCTGAAGTCAGATGCTTAACCGACTGAGCCGCCCAGGCATCCCTAAATGTTACTTTAACTTTTGAAAGAGAGAGCAGGGGAGGGGCAGAGAGGGGGGGTGGGTACTGAGGATCCTAAGCAGGCTTCATGCTGATAGCACAGAGCCTGATGTAGGGCTTAAACTCACAAACCACAAGATCGTGACCTGAGCCAAAGCCACATGACCTGACCTCAGATGCTTAAATGACTGAGCCACCCAGGTGCCCCTCCAAAACCTCCTTTTAAAGGGAAGCTCTGTATGTTAAAGATGGAAATCATTGTACTTGGCAGGTATCCTACAGCCAGAAAATCCCAGCCTCAGTCTTCAGGGTCCCAATTTCTCATTTAACTCCTCCTTTCAGTACCAAAGCACAGGATGTTTTGGCAGCCCCTTCTTCTCCCCTAATTCTTGGAGAGCCCCAATTCAAAAGCTGGTAGTATTAGGAATTTTCCAGGTCAATGGAAAGAATTCTGTCCCCAGGGCTGGTTTGCCCACAGACTGCAGTAAAAGGAAATGAAAACAACTGAGTTGGTTCTGAACCAAATAAACTTTCTAAAGTGCTGAGCTCTCCTAATTCTTCCAGCCCAAACTGGGGCTCATCGTTGGTTGCTTTGATGGCATATAAATTTTGAGGTTGAGTTTTTGAAGGGAGATTCTAGAACCTGATGGCAGTGAGAGAATTCTAATCACATGGAGCTAGTCTGCCAGTGCAAATGAGCTCCGCAATAGGAACATGTCAGAAATGTAGAAATTGACATTTCAGGACTGCCCCTTAGACCAAGAAGGAAGAGGTGTTTGTTTTTTCTTTTCTTGTCTTTTTTTTAATGGTGGGTTGAGCAGAGATGTTCAGAATGGAAATGATGCTTCAAATAAAGATGAAATATACATGGTTATTAAATGCACATTTATTACTGACCTCCCCAGTGCCTTTCTGTGCTCGCTTAATTTCCTGGTTGTTGCCCTTTTTGGGCACATTTCGCATGGAAGCCAACAAATTTATCTTATTCCCCTATGCCTACCCCACCCAGACCAGGCGCAGGGGACAAATTTCATTCAGTGATTCAGGGAACAATTTCGACATTTGCACTTAGAATAAGAAAGAAGGCAAAAAGGAAATATTATGGTCAGTAGAAAAACAGGACTCCCTGATTTTTACATACAGGTAATATTCTTCCAAGTGCATCCATACATTGGGAAATCTGCAACCTGACAGAGCTGTACTGATAAGCAGACAGCTGACCTGGTTGGGGTACCCGTGTTCTCAACAGTTAGGCTGCAACCACTACTCTGAAATGAATCGCTCTCTACCTCACTGTCAAGCGTGTGGAGCCCCGCCTTCCTCTGGAGGTTGAATTGCCGAATTCTTGAGATGACCAAGAAGGTTTTTGCATATGTAGAATCTGCGTACCCACTCCCACGAGGAGAACCACCACGTAGGTAGAGAATTGCTCCCATCCTTAGCCATTTGAGTCTGACTCACATGAACCAATAACAATACCCCAATTTTTTTTTTCCCAAAAGCATTTCACTCTAGGGTGCAGTGAAGAGGCGCAGTATCTGTTTATAATTCTTAGGGATTATAATTCTTATAATCTTATAATTCTTAAATCTTTAGTTGATTTCAACTAAAATCAAGTACACTAAGTGCCAGCCTTGTCTCTCTGGTGGGCACTTCAAACGTGGTTGTAATTGAGATCGGCAGTTCCGAAATAAATAATTTGCCAAAAGCAGGTGGCGGACCATTGCTTTCTCCCTAATGTCCATCTGTGGAGCCCTTGGAGACCTCGCTGAAATGATGAATTGATGCGTCTAGTGGGAAACAGCGTGTTACCCAGACCGGTGCCGTAGATGAGCAGGAGGCCGGCACGACGCAAGGAAAGCTCAGCTGGTGGCGTGTTATAAAGCATCTGTGGACGTTAGGGATTCCTGAAGCTCTTTGATTTTGTTTCCCCATGTTTCTGCTGAACCAAGAGTTTTCTTGTTAGGCTAACATCTCATCATTTTCTAAAAGATTTGTTGTGTTTTTAGAGGCAATGCCTTTACATTTCAAATATAGCCAAGAAGGCTTTTTATGCTCACACTTGTTACCATCGTGAACTGGTGACCACCTGATAGAGATCATGAGCTTCAAGAGGCTCAGAACACATTTTTTCTGGAAAGCCGTCTATGTCCTTAGGGAACCTGCTATGCCAAAGAGGAACAAGGGCTGTGCGGCATCTTGCGCACTTAGAAGGATTAACAAAAGTTAATTGTTAGTGCCTAAGCAGGATAATGAAAATAGAGGGCCTTATTTTTGTAAAAATGGTCAAATATAGAATATAGATTAAATATAACTAGATATTATGTAATCTAGGTATTCTGTATAACATACAGAATATGCTAATATTTATTGTAGAATGTAGATTACGAATACCAGAGTTTCTGAGTTGGAGGGGATCTCAGAATTTACCTCTGCATTCTAAAAATGCCTCTCTGTGGCTTATTCCCTGTGAGCCCATCTCTCAGTCACGTGAACGTGATTCCTATTGGATTCAGTTTGTTCACAAGATATCTATTGACATTAGCTCTGTGCTCAGCACTGAGGCAGGTTCCTGGGCTGCGCGAATGAAGAAAGCACAGTTTCCACCGATTGCTCTAGAGACGTTGAAACCTGTCCAGAGTCGCCGCTGTCACAGGTTGGATGTGGGTCAGCTGGACTCTTTTGGTGGCTCAGTGGCTCCAGCCTGGGTCCTGGACGCACACCTGTGCTGGGGCTTCCCACACAGCGATCCTCCCCCCAGGGCCCTGAGGTCGGTCCCATGGTCTGCGACGCAGGTCCTGCTTCTTAGGGTTCACCGGTGGCCAATAATAAACACCTGTGGTTCCGGGATCCGGAAGTGAAGCTGTACGGTGTGTGTTAAATGAAGGTGAAGCCCCCCGGCTGATGACAGAAGGCGCCGAGAGCAGATCTCTAGGCCCCTGTGCAGACCGCACGGAGCTTAAACCACCGGAAGCAGGTCATTGTTGCCCGAGGGGGTGTCCGAATGGCAGCCCAGGTCACCATCTCCCGCGAGCTTTCTCTGCGTCTTCCGCCTGACCTTTGTGTGTGGTTCTCATGGTCTTGGTCAGTGGCTGCGAACATGGTTCATGGCACGGAGTTGGTTACTGGTTCACATTATAAGAAAGCAAAGGTTCATCCTTGGTATTTGAGTGGCCTTTAGCAACCATTTGGAGATTGCTGCCAGAATTTTGTGTGTCATTAAAAAGTTATGTGTGTACGGGATGCCTGGGTGGCTCAGTCAGTTAAGGTCATGATCTCATGGTTCATGGGTTCAAGCCGCCTGTTGGGCTCTGTGCTGACAGCTTGGAACCTGGAGCCTGCTTCAGATTCTGTGTCTCCCTCTCTCTGCCCCTTCCTCGTCCATACCTTCTCTCTCTCTCTCTCTCTCAAAAATAAAAAAAAAATTAAAAAAAGAAATGTTTGTGAGACTGTGTATATATCACTATTAATTTTTTTTGTTCCTAATCTGTATGTATGTACGTGTGTATGTATGCATGGTATGGGGGGGGTGTGAGATACAGTACGTATTATATAATACTTTTTTTAAAAAAAACAAAGTCTTCAAATTCTTGTTTTGTTACCAAATTAGGATATGATCAAGATACAGTGTTTTCTCTGCTATTTAAGAACTTTCTGACCTAATAGCATACCCAATGCTTACTCTAAAAAAAAAAAAAAAAAAACTGTCAAACACTTTAGTATGTGTTTAAAAACTAGGATATTAGAATTATGTTGAAGGTTTTGGTGCATTTGAGGAAGAAATGAAAGTTAGCACTACATTCTGGGACAGTTCATCACTAGATCCATAGCCCTAAACCCTTCAGTACATTGATTTTTTTTTTTTAATTTAAAATTTTGGGAAATTACTAGTTTTCCATTTAATACTGACTTTTATAAGACTTTGTTCTATACAATAAAAAGTTTATTTTAAGCGCTTTGTTTTTTTCCAAGAGATCTGTGTAAGAATACCAGGATGATCACTGCACCATATGGATGCATCCTGGGTCAGGCAACAGCAATTTTGTTTTCCTGGTGACCATTTCGAATCTAGTTTAATAGGCTGTGTAGGTAGCTTAGTCTAAAAGAGCTGCTTTTTCAACATGATGTCCTGAAACCAGCCTACACACAGTGATGAGGTGGTGACTAATAGAAACAAGGTTTTGGAGGAAAGGGTAGTCCAATCTTAGAGAACAGCAGCTACACAGCTAACCCAGGTTCTGCTTGAATGTCCCTCATCTCCCGTGTCACATGAAGTAACAGCCGTGCCCACCGCGGACCAGGTGTGGGGGACACAGGACTGCCACCTCTGAGCAGGGCATCTCAAACTCCCGACTCTTAGAGCTGCCCCCAGTCCTCAACCCACGATCCCACATGGGCTTGGAATGGACACGGAATTCTTTGCTTTTACAGAAAACTGAAATTTGAAACAAAATTAGAAGCAGGGTGCTTGTTACCTATGTCTATGGAAGCCCCCTGGTTTGCTTTTTACCTTTTCTATGGAACGCTTAGAATGGAGTCTCTTTTTTCAGTTGAAATAAGTGAGTAAATCAAGGGAACAGGGAAGAATAAGGAATTCAGAGAAGGGGTGCCTGGGTGGCTCCGTTGGTTAAACAACGGACTTTGACTCAGGTCATGATCTCATAGTTCATGAGTTAGATCCCTGCATCAGGCTCTGTGCTGACAGCTTGGAGCCTGGACCCTGCTTCAGATTCTCTGCCTCCCTCTCTCTCTACCCCTGCCCTGCTTGTGTGCTCTCTCTCTCAAAAATAAATAAACATTAAAAAAAAAATTTAGAGGAGAAAATGGTGACCACAAGCCTAGTCCTTACTAGGGGTGTGTATATTATTATGCTCACGATTCACTAGTGGTGAACAAGTAGATTAAAGTTAGTTTCTGTTCTTTACTTATTGTTTACAGAAGTATTTTTGTTGTGGTGGTGATTCAGTGCTCTTTTTTCTTTT